TAAGCCCTTGGGAGGTGCCCAGTAGCCTGCTCTGTCCAAAATGTGGACACTTAGGGTGTGTCTAGACTACCTGCCTCCATCGATGGAGGCATGTAGATTTGTTGTTTTGGCAAAGGCAAAGGAAGCCGCGATTTAAATGATCGCGGCTTCATTTAAATGTACATGGCTGCCGCGCTGAGCCGACAAACAGCTGATCAGCTGTTTGTCGGCTCAGCGCGGCAGCCATGTAAATTTAAATGAAGCCGCGATCATTTAAATCGTGGCTTCATTTGCCTTTGCCCAAAAAAACAAATCTACATGGCTCTGTCGACGGAGCCATGTAGTCTAGACATACCCGGAGTTATGAGGCTCCACTCCCTTAGTCTATTGATACCAGCGTACAGACAAGGCCTTGAAATCAGTGGCTCCATAACCCAGTCTTCTCAATGCCAACATTCAGTGTGGTGACCATTACACAAATGTCTCTGGAAAGGGCTGAATTTCTTATGGACTAATAAATTATTGTAAAAAAATGAATCTTTGGATCACTTGAAACGATTCACAAATATGTTAGAAATTCTCAAGAAAGCTTTGTCCCAAAACCAAAAGCATAAAAAATGTAGCCAAAATAAGAAGTCAGAGGTGCCTTTTGTGATATATTGGCCAGTAGTCAGGCTGTTCAACAGTGAGGTGGGAGATCCAGGTTCAATTCCCTTGTCTGCTCAATACTGGGCTCAGATGTGCTCTTGGGTTTCCTGACTTTCCAGAAAGAATCCCAGCCACAGAGCAATGAGCTAGTCCTGTCTGGGTCGCTCTCAATCTCTCCTTCCAAGTGGTTCTACTGTGTAACACAAATGACCAACCCATGGGAACAGTGACAGGAAAGTGAGGTGGGAGATCCAGGTTCAATTCCCTTGTCTGCTCAATACTGGGCTCAGATGTGCTCTTGGGTTTCCTGACTTTCCAGAAAGAATCCCAGCCACAGAGCAATGAGCTAGTCCTGTCTGGGTCGCTCTCAATCTCTCCTTCCAAGTGGTTCTACTGTGTAACACAAATGACCAACCCATGGGAACAGTGACAGGAAGTTGAACATCTCCACTGGCAACATTGACACTGCTGCCAGAAATGAAGCCAGGTTTGTTTGTCATGTGGTGGAGACACATCAGATCAATGAGGCAGCAATTGCTCATCGATGTCTATACCCAGCGCCCGCAGAGGATCTGTCTCAAGGCTGGTGAACACTGATACTGGCAGATGATCTAAGTTACAATGGTTCGGTTCCATAGCTCTCTCATTGACACAGCACGGTGTGTGTAGGATGTGGGCAGCGCTGCACGTCAAACTAAGCTACATCAATTTGCAGTAGCATAACTTGAATCAACATTCAGTGTGAGCATTGCCCAGCCCTAAGGAAGACCCAGGAGGTGACACAGATAGTCTCCAGCGTGCTTCCCAGCAGTGTGGGAGACCCACTTTCAAATTGCTTCAACATACCAGACAGACGGGGATTGACCCGAATCTCGCATCCCACATGAGTGCTCTGAGCACTGAATTGAAGCCTACAAGGCAAACAGCAGCATCACCATCTCTTCCGCTCCCATCCATTTAGCCAGCCTAGCCCCTCCTTGTCATTGCATTTTCATTGAAGCAGAAGGAGTCAGGAAAAGACGTGGCATTTTTGGCCATGCAAAATCCTCCTTTCCTCCTCAAATAACATTTTGGTCAATGTTTTTAGTTTGTTAAATGTTGAAGCAATTTTCAGGTTTGGATCAGGTTGAGATGAATACTTTCTAATAAGCCATCAACGAAAAAATCAATTTTGGGCACAGCTTCCTCCATTCATTGAAGCAGAAGGAGTCAGGAAAAGACGTGGCATTTTTGGCCATGCAAAATCCTCCTTTCCTCCTCAAATAACATTTTGGTCAATGTTTTTAGTTTGTTAAATGTTGAAGCAATTTTCAGGTTTGGATCAGGTTGAGATGAATACTTTCTAATAAGCCATCAACGAAAAAATCAATTTTGGGCACAGCTTCCTCCATTTCACACTGAAAGACCCTGGAGGTATACAGTTACCACAACTGCTACCCTTCACAGTCTATAATACATCCAAAGAAAATTAAGAGCAAGAATGCATAGCTAACTCGCTCATGAGGTGTAAATATTTGGTGTTTGATTTTATCTCTGTTTAATTTATGTTGTAGAGGAAATTCACACTTTTATGCTCTTTCATATTCTATTCAGTGCAGACTGTCACAGAGGATGCACACACACCATGCTCTCTCTTAGGCTATGTCTGCACTGCAGCTCCAGGATACCGTAGATACCCAAGGAATGCGTCCACTTTTCCAAAACATTTTTTTGGAAAAGTGGACGTGCTGTTTTGCCATCTCTGTAAATCTCGTTGTACAAGGAAGAAGGGATGTGCCAAAAGAGGACTTTTTTTTTAATGTGGCACCATGTAGACCCACCAAATTTCAGAAGAGCCTCTTCTGAAAGAAAATAGAAAAAAGATTAGCAATTTGAGTATCTTTTTCTGACTTTTCTTTACAGTATAGACACAGTCTTAGTTATCAGCTTCCTATTTGTTTTGTTTTTCCCTTATGATGACGTAAGGGATGATGTGATGAAAATGATGTTTTTCCTCCTAGTGCATGGACACTAACCGGGTGGTAACTTCTTCAACTCCCTTTGCAATAGAAATCACATGCATCATAATGAAACCAACCTACCTAGAACGAAAAGGGACATTTGATCCCCCCCCCTTCCTTCCAAATACAAACAGATCCATGGTTTTAAAGCAAATGATGTATATTTACATACTCACACATGTGAATCAGGTGTCTCCTTTATTTTGACTGGAATAATAGCATTAAAAAACCCCCGATCTCAGTTGGGGCCAGCAGGCCTTGTTGGAATACAAACAAACACATACTAATATCAATGTAATAATGAACAATACTACCACGAGCTCTATAAGACAACATCACTATGGGCTGGGAATTTAATTTTGGTTTTGAATCCCCATCACTCAATCAGCACTGGGATGAACAGATTCAAGACTTGCTGAGGAGTTTGTTCATGGCTTTCCTCAGAGCGTCCTTCACCTCCCTGTTCCTCAGGCTGTAGATGAGGGGGTTCAACATGGGGATCACCAGCGTGTAGAACAAGGAGGCTATTTTGTCTGTGTCAGTGCCCATGGAATCGCTGGGGGTGGGTTGTAAACACATGAAAATGAGAGTGCTGTGAAACAGTATCACTGCAGTCAAGTGGGAAGCGCAGGTGGAGAAGGTTTTGCGCCGACCCTCTGCAGAGTGGATCTGCAAGATAGTGGAGATGATGTAGACATAGGAGAGGAGGATAGTCAAAGTGGCGATCACTACGGTGTAGCACAAAGAAGCAACCATCACCATCTCATTGATGTGTGTGTCAGAGCAGGAGAGTGCCATCAGAGAGGGCATTTCACAGTAGAAATGCCTGATGATGTTGGAGCTGCAGAATGACAGCCGAAATGTACAACAGGTGAGTATCATTGCATCCACCAACGCCACAGCACACACCCCAGACACCAGCTGGTTACAGCGCTGCCTGGACATATTGACCATATAGAGCAGTGGGTTACAGATGGCCACATAACGGTCATACGCCATCACAGCCAGCAAGAGACTCTCAGTGTCTGCGCAAACAAAAAAGAAATACATTTGCACAGCGCAGGCCGTGTAGGAAATGCTCTTCCTCTCTTCTAAGAAATTCTGCAGCATCTTAGGGGCAATTACTGTGGAACAGCAGAGATCACAGAAAGACAAGTTCCGGAGGAAAAAGTACATGGGGGTGTGGAGTCGGGGGTCAATTGTGATTAACAAGATCATCCCCCCATTACAGATAAGGGTCGTAACATAAATCAGTAAGAACAATGCAAACAGGGTGACCTGCATCTCTGGCCGATCTGTCAGTCCTGAGAGAATGAACTCAGTCACCACGGAGTGATTTCCCTCTTCCATCTCCTCTGAATCGAGATCAAGCAGCTACAGTGAAGTGGGAAAGTAGATGGCTCGGGCAACATGTCCTTTCTCACTAAGAAATTAAGTGAAGAAAAATGCAGATCAGTTTCTTAATGGGCACCACAATAAAATTGGTGATGGGCTTAGTTAACAGAGCCAGATGTTCACAGCTGGTCACTCCAGTTGTTCCATACAATGCACACACTACACAAATACAGAGACACGCAGGTTATTTGTGCCACACACACACAAGCACTGACTTGTGACACTGCTGTGAGAGAATCATCTCGGTGTGAGGAGGGCTATTCCTTAGCACAATACACAAGCGTTACCCCAAACACACATGCCAAGCCACAGGGCTCCCCTTGCCCAAAGAGAGTGGAAAGATTGTCACCCATTTACTCTCACCCCGTCTTAAGCTAAGTAAGCTTTTTTTTTACCTGTGAAATGGTATTTACATGATTCTATATGGAAATCCTGAGAAATAATGGAAACCACAGGCTTCAGGGACTATCTAATTGCCTATTTTTTCCCATTATGTGGTTTCTTTCTATAGCTCAGGTTGGGCTGTGACTTTGTGGTATTGTTGGTCATGAATTCAGTACCTGCTGTTCACCATGGTGTCTGCATGAGTGTGTGACTGTAATGAAGGACAACAGCACGTACCTGCTGAGGAGAGAGTGATGTGGTGGTGTTTCCCCATCAAAAGAAAGTGCCAATTTTTGGCGTTTGATAACTTATAGTCAGATCTTCGATCCATGGGACATGCTCCCTGAAGTAACTAGCAATAACTGAGCTCAGAGCAGCAGAAAGCCTAATTACGTTGCTGAGTGTAACTCATTCCCATGGGATTAGTTTGGCACACTCTTTTCTCCTGTGTCACTAAATGATGCAATTTCTATCAGAGGTACACAGTACAACAGAGTGTTTAATTCATCTTCCTGTTTTCAAAGTTCAACCTTGGGACTGTGTCGAGCTGAGCAGCAAAGTCTTTGTTTGTGGAGACTGAAAGCTTATGGCTGAAAACACAGTAGATCCCCTCAGAAATACCACGGAGATGCCTCAGTCACCACAGTCCAATATTGTCAGGATCCCCGGCTGGACTCCATCCCCCTTGATGCACGATAGACTCTTCCCTTGCTGAACTGCCCTGAAATATCACCAGAGTCCCACAGACAGAGTTTGAGGAGGGGGGAGGGTGATTGGTATTTTGATGGAAAGATTACAAAGTCAATGAAAAATATAATTGCTTGAAAAATCCCATTAACATATTTTCAGGAACCTTCTCTACCAACTTTAACAAAACAACAACAGCAACAACAAAAACCACACAGTTAAAGGAACAGAATGTGTGATGGAGCTGAAGCTCACTAATTACATTACTTTAGTCTGTATGAAAAGTCCAAGACATACTGGGAACCATTGACAGGGAACCACGGACATTCCTAGGTTCAGAATCACCCCCTTGTCCGCAACAGGTGGCACGTGAAATCTGTAGGATATATTGGAGTCCTCCTGATCTATCTATCTATCTATCTATCTATCTATCTATCTATCTATCTATCGGCGTGTCTAGACTACAGGGTTTTTTAAAAAAAGTGGTCTTTTTTTCGAAAAAGCTTCCCCTGCATCTAGACTGCTGCTGCATTCTTTCAAAAGTAAATCAAAAGAACGTGGTAGTTTTTTTGACCGTGGAAAACTTTGTTTTACAAGGAAAAATGCCTTTTTCTGAAAGTGCTCTTTCGAAAAAAGGCGCTATATAATGAAAACTGCTTTTTCGAAAGAGAGCGTCCAAACTGCTTGGGTGCTCTCTTTTGAAAAAGCTCCTTGCTTTTTTGAAAGTACTGGTTGCAGTTTAGACGCTTTCTCGAAATAGGCTTGCAGTCTTGATGGAGCCTATGATATGCCTTTCCCTTGCTATGTCACTCCCCAAAATAGGACAGATTGGTTCACTGATTTTGTTTGATAGAAGACACATGGGGTACATCTACACTGCAGAGCAAAAGTTGAATTAAGATATGTAACTTCAATTGCGAAGCTGAAGTTGAAATAGCCTAATTTGGCTTTTGGTGCTGTCTACACAGCAGGAAGTCAAGGGAAGCACACGTTTCCTTCACCTTCCCTTGCCCCTCGTGAAATGAGGGTTACAGGAGTTTGAGTAAGAAATCCTTGAATTTGGTATTATTTTGAAGTAAAGGCTTACAGTGTAGACGCACACAATATAATTTCGAAATAATGTCAATTCTTCTGAAATAATGCTGCTATGTAGGCATACCCATGGTGACCAGAGAAGCTCAGCACATGACCACAAACATCTGATCTCCATTATTAATTTCCTTGCTTCTCTGCATAGCGGAAATGAACCCATTGAAAGGGTCTCTCCAGAGGCAGCATTTTTAAAAGCATTAACTAATTCTGCGAGCCTATGGACCTATTTGAAAAAGGGGGCCTTTAAATTCTTTCTGCCTCTGTTTGCCCATCTCTGAATGGGAGTAACCCTAATTATGTGCCTTACAAAAAAAATGTAAGGCTATTGGCAGTCCTATTATTGCCTTGTAGTGGTATGGCTGACCCACACAGACTGGCACATACAAGAAGGGCTGGTGAACAGAATGCTCCCTGGAATGTTGCCTGGATTGGTTGCCTGGATAGGAGCACCACAGATAAAGCAGTGGTGGGTAAGGTCTGGGGAGGGAAAGGGAGCTACAGCCTGAGTGACTGACAGACTGAAGCCCTGATACAGGGATTAAAAAGAGGCTGTGACTACAGGGAAGTGGATCAAGGAAACAGGAAAATGTTGGAAAAGGGGAGGTAAGTAGCTGACATCCATAGGTTCCCTCAGTCGCAACCCAGGATAGCAGGCAGGTTTGGGTCACCCCCTTCTTTGCACCCCACTTGCAAATGAGGAGAATGGCAGGTGTCCAGACTGCATCATGCTCTTGAGGTCAGGAACTGAACCTTGGGGTGCAGTTGGCCACTGAGGCACGTGGTAGGACTAAGAACTGTCATTTCCTCAGTATGGAGGGCATACTAGAGTGGGGTGCTGTGTCCAGAAAAGGTTGTTGCTATCTGAGGATTAATGTGGGTCATGGTGTGGTGGGTGCAGAGCAGAAGTGACAGTGGCGAGGCACCCGCAGAGGAGGTTGCACTGTTGGAGAGTTAAATCCCAGAATGGCCAGCAGGACACTGTTATCCCCAGGCTTAGTCTACACTGTAGGGTTTTTGCACAAGAAGCCTTTTGCGGTAGAGTTCTTGTGCAAAAACTTCTTGCACAAAAGTGCGTCCACGCCTCAAAGCTCACTACTAAAGTGATGTGCTTTTGCGCAAGAGCGTGTCCACACTGCATGGACACTCTTGTGCAAGAAAGCTCTCAGAATGGCCGTCAGAGCACCTGTGCTTTTGCAAAAACCCCTCTGAAGCGTCCACACCTGCCTTTTTGCACAAGAGCTGTAGCACAAAAAGGAGTTATTCCTCATCAGGAAAGGAATAACTCTTCTGCAAAAAGCCTTTGCTTCGGCCAATTTTCTTGCACAAAAGCACACTTGAGGTGTAGACGCTATGCCAATTTTTGCGCATAAATGGCCATTGTTGCACAAAAACCTTGTAGTGTAGACATAGCCCAGGGGCGTAGGAAGCAAATGTCTGAGAGGACAGAAAACCCCAGCCATTTATTTATCAATGCTGGGCACAGATCTGCACTTAGATTTCCTGCCTTTCCAGAGAGAATCCCAGCCACAGAGCAATGAGCTATTCCTGTCTGGATCGCTCTCAATCTCTCCTTTCAAAGTGGTTCTACTGTGTAAAACAAATGACAGACCCATTGGAACAGGGACAGGAAGTTGAACAGCTCCCCCTCTAGGTGGGTGCCCCTGGCAGCCAGTCAATAGAATCATTCTCTCTGTCTGGCCCTGTGATTCTGCCCGGGGCTCTCAAGAACACCACAGTTCCAGCAGCAGAGCCTGAGGGCAGAGGTGCACGTAACATTGACACTGTTGCCAGAAATGAAGCCGGGTTTGTTTGGCACGTCTGGTGAAGACACATCAGATCAATGGGGCAGCAATTGCCCAGCGACGTCTGTACCCAGAGCACTCAGAGGGTCTTTCCCAAGGCTGGTGAACATTAAGACTGGCAGGTGATCTAAATTACATGGGTTCAGTTCCATAGGTCTCCCATTGACAGCACAGTGTGCACAGTGTGCAGGCGTCACTGTAAGTCATAATAAGCTACACCAGCTTGCTGTAGCATAATGTAAATCAACGTGCAGCATGAGCATTGACCTGTGCTAAGGAGGATCCAGAAAACAACATGGCCATTCACCAGGGCGCCCCCCAGCAGTGTGGGAGACCCACTTTCAAATTGTTTCAACACGCCAGACAGAAGGGGATTGACCCGTATCTCGCACATACCCACGTGAGTGCTCTGAGCACGGGATTGACGCCTACAAAGAAAACAGCAGCAGCACCGCCTCTTCCACTCCCGTCCATTTTGGTAGTTTAGCCCTGCATTGGCTTTGTGGTTACACTGAAGCAGAAAAAGACAGGAAAACTCGTGCCATTTCTGGTCATGTAAAAAGTTTTCTCCATTATGCTCCATGTTTTCAATTATTCCAAATATTTAGGGAATTTTCAGATTTGGATCAAGGTGAGATACATATTTTATAGGGAGCCATGATATAAAAAGTCAGTTATGGGCAAAACTTCCTCCATTTCTCACTGACAGTCCTCGGAGCCATACAAGTCTCAGAACCCCTATACTTTAGAGTCTATAACACATTTCATGGGAACTAAGACAGGAACACACAGGTAACCTACTAATGAGGTGTAAATAACTAGAGTCTGATTTTCTCTCTGTTTTAACTCATGTTGCAGAGTAAGCTTGCGTTTTCGGTGCTATTTTGTATTGTGTGCAGTGCGGAGTGTCACAGAGGATGCACACGCATCGTCCTCTCTCTTAGCCATCATGCTCCTGTTTGCCTTGTTGTTCCTTTAAGATGATGTGAAGGACGTCATGATGGAAATGATATTTTTCCTTCTAGTGCACGAATACAAACCAGGGGACAATCTCTACAACAGATCCCTTCGCTTCAGCCATAGGAATCACACATGTCATAATTAAACCAACCCAGCTACAAAGAAGAGGGACATTTGAGGTCCCCCTGTACTTTCAAAGTACAAACAGCTCCATGCTTAAAAGCTAGTGACATATGTGAAACAAGTGTCTCCTTTAATGTTGCTGCAGTCATACGATAATAGAGCTCAGTGGAGGACTGGGGGACTTATTGATATGTAAACAAATTAATAATGAGAACAGTATAATAATGAGCAAAAATACCACGAGCTGTGCAAAACGACATTGCAATGGGCTAGGATTGAATTCACCTGTTTCCGCTCCCCTTTGTTGAAATGAACAGATTCAGGAATGGGTTAGGAGTTTGTTCATGGCTTTCTTCAGGGCGTCCTTCACCTCCCTGTTCCTCAGGCTGTAGATGAGGGGGTTCAACATGGGGATCACCAGTGTATAAAATACGGAGGCCATTTTGTCTGTGTCCATGGATTGGCTGGCGGTAGGTCGGAAATAGATGAAAAGGAGGGTGCTATATAATATGACCACTGCAATCAAGTGGAAGGCACAGGTGGAAAAGGCTTTGCGCTGGCCCTCAGCAGAACGGATCCGCAGGATGGTGGAGAAGATACAGACATAGGAGAAGAGAATGATCAGAGCGCTATTCAAAGTAATGAAACATGTAAAGGCAAACATCACAATCTCATTGAGGTGGATGTCAGAGCAGGAGAGCGCCAGCAGTGCAGGAAAATCACAAAAGAAATGATTGATGATATTGAAGCGGCAGAATGACAGCCGCAATATCAGACATGTGTGTATCATTGATTCCAACAACACCACAGTACACACCCCAGCCACCAGCTGGTTACAGCGCTGCCTAGACATAGTGGCCATATAGAGCAGTGGGTTACAGATGGCCACATAACGGTCATACGCCATCACAGCCAGCAAGAGACACTCAAGGTCTGCAAAAGCAATGAAGAAATACATTTGCGCAGCGCAGGCAGTGTAGGAAATGCTTTTCCTCTCCACTAAGAAATTCAGCAGCATCTTGGGGGAAATTGTTGTGGAATAGCAGAGATCACAAAAAGACAAATGACCAAGGAAAAAGTACATGGGGGTGTGGAGTCGGGGGTCAATCATGATTAACAAGATCATCCCTCCATTCCCTACCAGGGTGACAACATAAATCAATAGGAACACACAAAATAGGGAGAGCTGCAGCTCCGGACGATCTGTCAGTCCTGAGAGAATGAACTCAGTCACCTCCGAGTGATTTCCCTCTTCCATCTCCTCTGAGCTGAGATCAGGCAGCTACAGTGAAGTGGGCAGGCGGATGGCACAGGGAAATTATCCCTTCTCTGTCACAAATTAAAGGAAGAAAAATGCAGCTTCTTAATGGTCATCAGTACAGGATCAGGGAAGAGCTTAGTCCACAGAGCTAGATGTTCACACTGGTTACGTCAGTTGTCCCGTGCAATCCACGTACTGTATATCTACAAAGACATGGAGGTTAATCGTGCCACACTGACAAACACTCCTCTTCACTAATCTGAGTAGCAAACAGAGACTTGTGGTTTTGTTGTGAAAGAATCAGGCTGAAAGTCATCTCAGATTGAAGAGATGATTGCTTAGCTCAGGAAGGGGTGAGAGTAAATGAATTTCATGCTCTCTCCCCTCTTTGCGCAAGGGGAGTTCTCTAGCTGAGCATGTCAGTTAGGGGTAAAACATGCTTTCTGTACTTCCCCCCACCCCCCCGCCATCTGATATGGCATTTCCATTGGTCTGTAAGAAAACCTTGAGAGATACTGGAAACCACCCGCCTCAATGGCTACATAATTGCCTAAGATGGTGTGTCTGTACCTCAAAGGGTAGGTTCTGGACAGAAGTTTTTAGCATTAGAGACCATGAATGAAAAATGTTCTGATCACCATGGAGGGCTGTCTGAGTATGGCGGTGATGCACGACAGGAGCACCTACCTGCTGAGAAGAGGGAGATGTGGTGGGGTTTCCCCATCGACAGAAATTGCCTATTTTGAGCATTCCAGAAGTTTTATACTGAGAACTGATCCTTGGGGAATGTTCCCTGAAGTAAGTAGGAATAACTGAGCGCAGAGAAGCACCACACCTAATTAATGAGCGGAGTGAACCAATGTCTCCCTGGTGTTAGCATTCCAGAAGTTTTATACTGAGAACTGATCCTTGGGGAATGTTCCCTGAAGTAAGTAGGAATAACTGAGCGCAGAGAAGCACCACACCTAATTAATGAGCGGAGTGAACCAATGTTCCTTTTCTGGCTATGTCACTCCCTGAAATAGGCCACATATGTGCACTCGTGCTTGATGGAGACCATTGGAAGTGACCACAGACATCTGTTCTCCATTGTTAATTGGGCCTTTCCCTGGAAAGCTAGAAATGACCATTCTGAAAGGGTCTGTAGTGGCCTCTTCTCATTCCATGCCCCTGGAAGCAGCATTTTCCAAAGCATTCACTAATTCCGTGAGCCTATGGACTCCTGTGAAAATGTGGGTCTTAAATTCTTTCTTCGCTGTCTGCGCATCTCTGAATGGGAGTGACCCTCCTCAGGTGCCTTTCGATAGGGTTCATGAATGTTTGTAAATGCTGACATGTCCTTGAGCCACACAGGGGAAGATTGGTGAAGGCAGCCTTGGAGAGAACCCAGCCAATTGGAAGAGGACTTACTGAGCCAACCCGTGGAGCAGCCAATCAGGGCCAGGCTGGAACATATAAGAAGGACTGTTGAACAGAAGGCCCCGTGGAATGTTGCCTGGATTGGTTGCCTGGATAGGAGCACCACAGCCAAAGCAGGGGTCTATGGAGTCAAGGGAGCAAAGGGGAGCTACTGCCTAACTAGCTGACAGACTGAAGCCCTGATAGAGAGAGACAGAAGGGATTTAGGCTAGGGGTAGATGATGCAAGAAATCAGGAAGATTTTGGGTTAGTGGCTGGTTGGTGATTATAATGTCCCTCAGTTGCAATTCAGCGTGGCAGGCAGGCCTGAGTTCCTCCTTCTTTTCACCCCACTTGAAAATGAGGAGAGTGGCTGGTATCCAGACTTCATCATACCCCAGAAGTCTGGGACTGAACATTAGGCTGCAGTTGTCCCTTGAGGCAAGTGATGGGCATTAGAACTGCTGCTGCCCTAGAAGGGGGAAGATAACGGGGTGGGGTACTGTGCCCAGAAAAGGTCACTATGGCCAGGAGAATAATATGGGTCATGGTATGGAGCAGAAGTGACGGTGGCGAGGCACCATCTGAGCAAGGTGCCCTGTTGGAGAGTTAAATCCCAGAGGGGGATCAGCCTTAGCTCCATTACAGGTCATCAGAGTAGGATCTCTGAGCACTTTGCAAACTTTATTCTATCTATCGTCACAACTGCTATCCCAGAGAAAGTAAACGTATTGATTCAAGAGACCCATTGTTGAGCTAGGACCAGTGCCCCAAATTATAGAGCACTAGACGAGTGCTCTACCTTATAGGGCATTTTTCCTTCTCGTGGCAATAGAGGAACAGCGGTGCAAAACCTATAGGCTATGTCTTCACTGGCATGATTTTCCGGAAATGCTTTTAACGGAAAAGTTTTCCTCTAAAAGCATTTTCGGAAAAGCGTGTCTAGATTGGCAGGACGCTTTTCCGCAAAAGCACTTTTTGCAGAAAAGCGTCCGTGGCCAGGGGAGTTCTCTAGCTGAGCATGTCAGTTAGGGGTAAAACATGCTTTCTGTCCTTCCCCCCACCCCCCCGCCATCTGATATGGCATTTCCATTGGTCTGTAAGAAAACCTTGAGAGATACTGGAAACCACCCGCCTCAATGGCTACATAATTGCCTAAGATGGTGTGTCTGTACCTCAAAGGGTAGGTTCTGGACAGAAGTTTTTAGCATTAGAGACCATGAATGAAAAATGTTCTGATCACCATGGAGGGCTGTCTGAGTATGGCGGTGATGCACGACAGGAGCACCTACCTGCTGAGAAGAGGGAGATGTGGTGGGGTTTCCCCATCGACAGAAATTGCCTATTTTGAGCATTCCAGAAGTTTTATACTGAGAACTGATCCTTGGGGAATGTTCCCTGAAGTAAGTAGGAATAACTGAGCGCAGAGAAGCACCACACCTAATTAATGAGCGGAGTGAACCAATGTCTCCCTGGTGTTAC